GAATCCAAATGAAAATGAGAACTCCAAATGCCGCTGTAAAGAGTAAAGAAAAGAAGAAGAAAGACAAATATTTTTTTGTTTTTGTTTGGATTTTCGTTACACATTTGTTGGAAAGAAGAGAAAATTAGTAGAGTTAGTTAGATACTATAATTATTTTTTGGTCTTTAAGTTGTTTCTCTTAAGTATACATAAGGTAGAAAGTTACTACATACTTAGTATTATGAGTATGATACTGGAATTTGTACAAAAAATCAAAAAAGTTATAAAAATAATAAAATTAACACCTTAACACAAAAAGTAATTATTTAGAGTAGAGTTTAAAACAGTACAGCAAAGGTAAAATAATAGTTGCAGTTCTTGGACATCCCTAATAAAAATTATATAGATATTAGACCTGCTAAGACCGATCCTACACTCGAATAACCAAATACGTCTGGTGCTTGTATTGTTAAAAGTTATGAATTTGAACAAAATGTAACTACACCATACAAGAAATTCAGTGTAAATAAACAGTTTGTAAATAAACAAAAAGCTCGAGGGCGAGGGGGAAATAATGGAAGAAATAATTATTTTGATGAGAGAAAATTTAACGTTGGTATTTGGGTTGACTTCAATAGGGATATTCCATAATTCCGGAATTTTCGGGTCGCTATCCACTCTATGTACTATTACTTTAAAGATCTTTGCTTAAAGGAAAAACATCATACTTTAGAAGGAGTTCGCTCAATGTCCTACATGAGAACAATAAAATCGGAGTATCATCGCGATTGCTAAAGTCGCTTGGACCTCTAACGGTAGTAAGTGGTATGTTGAAGATTATGTTGTTACTATTCTGCTGAGTAGCAGTGCAGCTATTAGGTTAGGTTAGGTAGGCTACGAGGCTTTGCAGATATCAAGGCGTTCAATGCTATCAGGAAATGTCCCATTAGAAAACTCACCAGGAACCTATATTCCTTCCTCTTGAGGGATAAAATAAACTTTGTAAGTACGCTCTTCACATAATACTGGGCACCTTGACCCGGTCAAGCCGCCATTTAATAGCTTAGAGGTAAATCGGTACCAGTATGTAGTAAATTCAGAGCTGACCGACACACGTCTTGAGGTAGTGCTGAGCGAAGTAGCGCCTTTATAGCAACTTGACTGTCAATACCAACCGGTAGCCTACTCCTCATGTCCTCACGTCAGCCTTCGACCTCTTTA